ACCCCAAAATGTATAGCATATATATATATATATATATATATATATATATAAATAACTATAAAAGTATAAATCATAAACACTAAAAATATTTTTTTCACAGTATATATAATATATAATAATATAATTAAGTCAAAAACTATTCAATATTGAACTCATTTCGAAGGTATTAACGAGACGATTATAATGGTGTAACTTGTTAAAATAAAAATGTATTTTTTAAACATGTTTTATTTGATATACGATTATGTATGTTAATTTGATAAATGTTTAAAATGAAACATTTAAAAGTAAATGCCGTAAAGTAATTAATTAACTAATTATATGGATATAAAGTGTACATTTAAAATTATAATTTTTAAAAAAAATCGTTGAATGGAAAGGTGAATGTATGTGAGGGGGTGAGTGTATGTGAGGAGAGGAATGGGTGAAAAAGTGAAAAAGGGTATCTTGGTCATTTAGAATTTTAAGACTTTAAGACTTTTGATGAATTTGCTTAATAAGATAGTATAGATTCTTGAATTTTAAGTAATATGCATCAATAAACAGTACTTCATACATAAAAAATATTTTTAAGAGTTTTTGTCAAATATTTTATAATATAGTATAGATTATTATTATTTTCATTTAAAAGTGATCAAAATTTGCTGAATCACTCATGTTATGATCTTCTACATCATAGGTCTTCCCGTTCCATCATCTGGCTTATGTTCTTCATGTAGCATTCAGACCGAATGATTCTATGAAATTACGTTGATTGTAAGATCCTGGTTACATAAATGATACCAGGTTTGTAATACCTCATTTCTATAAATGATAAACAAACCACCAAAAGTTACATTTTTAAACCATTAGAAAGCAAACGGGATATAATATTTACGAGTTTCTAATTCGAAATGTCAGCTTGGTTTACAGGACGTTTCCGTAAGCACTTGTTTTCCAAAATATCATAAAACGGACAAAATAAACTTAATAGATTTGCAGAAGCTTAAACTATATACAGGACGAAGGACATTAGCTACCCGTTATCTAGATACTTGTAGTTACAACCCAAAAGATAACTAATAATTTACAATCCATAGTTGTATTCGACTAACTATATAATACCAAAAGAGTCGTGCTACTGGAAGCACCAAAAGCAAAGATTTCAATCTACTCGAGCTTGTTCTTTGYCTTATCTACAYGGCCTGTAAAAATGTGAACAACTAAAAGGGTAAGCACATAATGCTTAGTGAGTAAACGGGAACTACTAACTACTAAAGTTTCACAAATGTAATCCATGGAAGTCAATGATCACGAATAATGTAAATCATGTAATAAGTAATCATCATTCGAGAATCATACATCTGAATATCAAAGTATGCAACAAATAGATCGTGTGAAAGTCAATAATTGATATGTACTGCCACCGAGCTATCCCGGTCGTGGCAAGCACAAAAATATATATCATAGATTTCATACCACCCGAGCTATCTCGGCCAGTGAAATGATCTTCCCACCCGAGCTATCTCGGACAGCGGGGAAAATGACCGGACTCTAACACGGTCAAATACGCACTGTTACGAGAATTATATAAAATAAATCTCTCAAACTGCTAACAAATGGAGACTAGTGCAAGTATACATTCATCAATCCACTATCGTCTTTTACAAGTAATAAAGTGGTAAAAATACCCAATTTCGTCCACGCAGAAAAAGGAATAAAAGTTTGTTTTAATAGTATAAATAAAGATATGATTTCAGATGGTGAAATCGATGAAACATTTTTGGTGAGTTAATTAAACACTACTGTTGTGAACAAGTAAAAAATAGAGCTTAGCGTGTAGGGATTCCTTAAGATATTAAACCGATTTTTAAGCAGACAGCATGCTACAGCAGGGTTCCATAGCATGCTTTATAAATAACTTATCTTTACAACTAATAGCTTCTTTAAGGTACTCTCTCGAGATGTAGAATGGCACACAGTCATAGATCTAGCCTTCATATCTCTATGCAAGGCTGGAGTCTCGACATTGGCTCAAAATATTCCTTTTATAAGCTAAATGGAGTGAAAACGAGTCTCCTTGATTCTAAGTAACTCTCTCGAGCCTACTTCCATATCATTCAAGTTGACGTGTGCTTGTTGGTTTATCTCTAAATCCAACACACTTTAACACTTTTAAACAAGTGATCAACTTGTCCATGGATGATGTTTTTTTTGCAATAAAAACTTGAATGACGTAGTTGTAAAGATTTATAATTTATATTTCTACAAACGGAATTGGTTTTTCTCTTAACTTCACCCAACACTCAAGCTATATTTTTAGTCTAACATACTTGAAAAATTAATTGCGTAAATAATAAAGCATAAGAAAGGAAAAAAAAGTAGAAGAAATAAATGCTAAGCGGAATTATAAAAGCGACTAACGATATTTGAAATAGAAAAATTAATTGCATAAATAATAATAAAGCATGATAAGTAGAACAAGTGAAGAAAAGAAAGTAGAAGAAATAAATGTAAAGAGGGATTATAAAAGAGACTTAAAATACTTTAACTAATGATATTGATTGCATAAATAATAAAGCATGATAAGGAGAGCATTAAGAAAATAAAAGATGACAAGAGAAATAAAAGTAAAGAGGAATTATAAAGAAGAAAAATATAATACTTGCAAATATAACTTTAAACCCAAAAGAACCTTCAAACTACTTCAAGTGTTTCCTAGGATTGTTTGCATACTAAATTGCTTACTTACAAAGCCAAGCCTCCCCCCTTTATATAGTGGAAGAAGGGAGGGTAAAAACCAATGGGTAAAAGTTTTACCTAACTTTTTTACACAATCCAATGGGAAAAGCCAAACCATCTAGATAATACCAAAAATCAGATCTTAGATTTGTACTATGAGATCTTAAAATCTACAGGAGATGGGCTGTCAAAAAAGGAGGATTTGACCTCAAAAGATTCTCGTTCTATTCTCAAAAGTGCCCCTGGATCGTCCTGCAGCACATGTTGTAACATGCTTCAGCCAAATACCTAACAACATGGTTATTTTTCCAAAAATCAGCACATATCCAAGAAGTAAACATGTTTATCACATCACTTTAGCTCCAATTATAAAAAATAGAAAAACAAAACAAAAAGACTCAATTTGTGGAAATTTGGGAAAATAAAATGGGTAAATAAAGTAAGAAAAAGTGTAAAAGTATCAAATAAGTTGATACTTATCATGCACCATACCCGAGTAATCTTAGCTGATATGGGCTTAAGCGTGCCTCCCCGGGTGAAACACAAAGTAACAACCGAGTAGCACGTATGGAAGGACGGAGTGCAATAGTCAATAACCTCTTGAAATTGATAAGGAGACATAACATGGATGAGTGTGGAAGCAAGTAGCAAATAGATAACACATGTTTAGCAAATAGCAAGTTAAGTAGCCCCATAAACTCACAGTACTTTTCGATATTCAAAAAATCGAGCCAAATTAGGCTCTACGTCCATATATGTCTAAACGTCGTCCAACGGTCACTCTGGAAGAACCAAGTGAGCTTATTTAACACCTGTAATATGTATCCAAAGTTTCATAAAGATCCGACAACAATAATTTAACCAAACTTAATTTAAACTCATTTTAGTTACTATAATTCACAACTCAAAATCAACTTTTTATCATTTTTTAGACGCAATTATAACCAACCTAGAAGCCTTATTTCTAAAAAGTGTCTAAAGGACAGGTTTAGAGCTACATATAAGCTTTCTAAAATGTCCAGAATCGTAGCAATCCGAGCTACGGTTAAGAAGTTATCGCACATTCAAAACARCATCTCGGATAGATTYGGTGCTGTCAAATTCACCAACTAAATAGGCTAAAATCCATATTTTGGATTCAATCTTCATTCCAACAATCAAAATATCATCTAACCATGTTTATATTATTGTTTACAAGATCAATACTCAAGCAAAAACCTCTTGAAATAATCTTGATTCACCCCTATGAAGCCAAAATCGCCCTTGGTAGTAAGTATGGGAGATGAGACTCTGTTTTGGGTGAAAAAGAAGGTAAACATCATGTATATTCGACTTTTACGAGTTGGGGCTGAGTTGACTCGGCTGAAAACTCGGTTTGACCACTAATCACTAAAAATCGCATAACTTTTCGTTCGGACCTCCGTTTTTGACGTGGTTTTCGCTCACGCGTTCATAAAGAGATAATCTACAACTTACAATAGAAATATTTCAAAAAATATCTTCCAATAAAAGTCAGTTTTTATGCATCCGTAACGTAGATATTGATGTTTTTGACCCGTTTCTTTCTAATTGTTTTACCCCGGGCCTCGTACGATGGTTCCGACTATTTCATATATAGTTTATTGCATTCGGGTTTGCTTCCAAATTTTACGTTTTGATAACATAAACACGTATAAAGGAGATAATTGCAACGTATTTGCGAAAATGTATGTTGTATTGATACTTCCACATATTATGGATAACGTAAGAGACATCTTTATTTTCCCCCCGGGAATCTTTAGAATTACCACTGCTTAGCTTTCAATTCGCCTCTGACCATCAAATGAAATGTGAATAATCCGTCCTCTGCTCTTTAAAAGAAGGGGTGCTTCCGGTTCTGTCGTAAAATGATGAAAAGGCCCCTAAACTTAACGGAACTAAGCTAACTCAGTTAAAGATAAGGACCTAATTCGTAACAAAATTAATACCATACTTATAATTAGTTTATTTGTGATTAACTCGATTCTGAATAAAACCATCACAGGTTTTCTTGTCTTTTTCAATTTTTAATTGTTATTATTATAAACAAATATTAATTGTATACTATACTTTTAGTAGGAATATTATTATTATAAGCATTATTTTAATACAAAATTAACTTTTTGCATATTTTTTATTTTTCATATTTTTTTTTTGCACCCACCAAGAAAAAATACCCTAAATATTGTATGCATCTTAAAGTTAACAGTCAGATAAAAAGCCTTAAAGTTAACAGTCAGATAAACACTTGTGTAAAATTATACCAAAGAAGGGATTCATTCCCTGCTATAAGACAATACCAAAATTGAAGTGGTAATTAACTCATGAGATTTGACAACATTACAAAACATGAGATTTAGAAGTACACAGATAACTTCTTATCTATTATATCCTGCACAATCTTACACTGTTCCAACAATCTGCTTAAACTGCTTCCATTCTCCTTCCTTTCATTCCTCTCTTCTTGAAATGGAATCATATCATCTCCATTAACCACCATTTCAACTTCAGGGGGATCGCAAACTGTTGCTTTCAAATCCTTGGATTCCAATTCCAATTCCAATTCCAATTCCAAAGTGTTAGGCATGCAGCCACTGACCTCAATCATTTCATCTAAAGATGGTGATATAAGGTTATATGTTTCATCTTTCAAACTTTTTGAACCCATAACATGATTATGTTTTTGTTTCGGATCATCCAAGATATATGTCGTTGCAAAAGCGCCATTATATAGACTCATTAACAGCCAATTGAACACACGCCGGAAGATCATGAGCCAGTTTGGAACAAGACAGTAGGTAGAACCGTTGAGCTCAAGTCCCACGCAATTTTGTATCAAAATGGACGCTTCTTTTTGGGCTAAGTGAGGTCCCATCAAAGGACTCAAGTAGCTAACCAGAAAGTGGTCCAGTTCTAGCCTCTGGTTCTCGATGTGGGTCCCTGTCAAAGGATGTTGAAAACGCCTATATATTTCTTCTGGAACAGTCGGTAGTTTACAGTTTCTTAATGCTTGAATGAGGGGGTCAATTCTTGTACCAGAACTCCATCCGATGCTAGGCAAGTAGGATTCCAAAATTCGATGATCGGATTCACTTAGCAATGAGATCTCAGGGCATGGCCAGCAAACCGGGTTTGATTTTGCAGCATCACTAATTTCTTCGATGGATTTATCCACGGCCTCATTGATCGCTGAGATGCAATGTTCTGGGCTTGTTTTACGACCATCAAACTGCATATTGGATGAAAATTGTAAGTGTGTCAGAACTAATTCGTGCGTTTTTACATGGTGAACAACGGGTTGCAAAGGGCTCTGACTTGCCAGCCACTCCAGCCCCTTCCTTAAATGGTTATCACTGAAAAACCCATCCTTTTGATTGATTTCAACCAACGGAACAACTGAAAAGCTGCAGATTCTTGATTTATCGACTTCATTAAGCCCCAGATTTTCCTCCATGATTGAAGGGTCCGAACAACTTAAGATCAGAAGTGGCAAACAAGAACCATGAGGTATAGAAGATACAAGTTTTCGAAGACGAATCTTTTGGGCATCCCACGAGATAGACTCAGAGGCAAGGAACATGACAGCACTTGCACCCAAAACTGTTTCTTCAAGTAGATGATCAAATTGTATGTTTTTTACCACTGACAAATAACAAATCCAATCAGCGGCCGATTTTCCATAATCCCATTTCTTCCATATTGACAGGCCTGGAAAAGATGCTACTAAATCATCATTATCAGCAACCTTTTCAGGCATAAGCTTGTAACGCAGCCATGAGGCTGGATCCAGATTGGAAACTTTGCACCCAGATTCCAGTTTCTCTCCTTCAAAGTCCGATGAACAAAATAACAATTTCCAGCAAATGCATCTGGGATATTGGTAACGTTCACCAAGTGTATCTGCTACCACATTTGAAACATTAAGTGTTGACCACAATTGTTCTTGTTTCTCAAATCTCTCACACACCGCACGATCAATGTTAAAGTCGCCAGGAATTTTCAATTGCTTCACACAGAAAAAAGATCAAACGAGAAGCATTAATATAATCCGCATTTCAGAAAAATGGGAAGGAACAGGTAAGCAAGAGTCTATTGAGATATTGCTAGAAGTGTAGTGCAATATTTTTCTCTAAATTTACTTTTTATGATTTTTGTTTTTTGGAAATGGGTCAGTTATTATGATACGAGGTTTCCAAAAAAATCTCAAATATTGTTGTTTATTTGGTTGATTGACCTTATATTTAGGAAGGGTAGTAAACATCTGTTCTTACCATCTAAAGAAGGGTAAAAATAGGAAAATATCTAGAAGTTGACAGATTCTGTATACATTAATAATTTATACTTCATGTTTTATAAGTTGTACGTACTCTTGAAAAATTAAGAATTTTCAGAACAAAAAACTAAATGCTTCATAATATAGTACAGAATCATCTGACAGGACTTGCAGTGTGGTAAACAAGAAAAAGGAAGGCTGGATTATGCAATTGAAGATTTTAGTACATGATAGCATGATCTCCCGAAACAAGTGAAATGCTACTGAATTCACAGGTCTCATATAATAGTCAGAAGTTTGGATAATCCAATTGATGATGGAAATTTATGTGTCGTATTAACCACATCTACTTGCAGTCAATCTAGTGGCAGAAACAAAGGTAGCAGAACGAGTCTCATAATATATTGTCAAAATATAATGTAAACATGCATACTTAAACTGGGCATTATACCTTGATGCATTCGATAAATAGTATAAAACTAGTTTACTAACTTGGTCCGTTCTAAATTTACACTCAAGACAAAGAGGATGACACATGAACAAGGTCCAAACTTTTTTGAAGAAAAAAACAGATATTCAAATGTGTACGAAAAACCATGGAAACCCAAAAAAAAATTGAAGAACAAAGAATAGTTTGAGCATTCTATAACTACAGATAGACCATGAAAAACGAATGATAAGTTACTTACCTCTTTATACTGCCGCATTGAAAGGCCCAATGACAACGAACTTAATGCAGCATTTGCTGCCAGTTGTTTTTTATCACGTAAATCCTTCTTTATCAAAGTGCGGCGCCTCCATAGCCTAAATCAAAATAAAATATATGAGTGAAAAAAAAGCAGTGGAATATACATGAAAAAAAAATTCAAATCGATATAACAAACTACGACCTCAATATCAGCCTAAGTTTTGCCTCAGCTACTTCTTCATTTATAGACGTATCAATTTCATTTTGCACTTCTTGAATCACATTTTCAGGTTCTTCGGGTTCCAAGCCCTCAACAAAATCGGGGTGGACCACTGAATCTTCAACAGAAGAATCTATCTGTAAATCTGGCAATGTTTCGACAAAAACTTGTCGTGGTGTAACTTGTGGCGGTATAGACGATGTGTTTGACTGACCATGCTTCTCAAGAGAGTTCCTAAAACGTTTATCAAAACTTGGTTTCCCAACACTGGAAGTAATAACTTTTGGAGATCCAAAGGAATTATTGGTTTTGAAAATATCCCCTAGTGAAGGACTTTCAACTTCCATGTGATGGCGATCCTCATTCCATCTGCTACTGAGCATAGGCTGCACTCGCAATTCGTCTTTGACAGCTCCATAATCAGCCATGTCTCTATCAACAGCTTTGGTATTACTTTGAGTTTCCTCATGGACAACAGGTGACTCTTCTTGCATAGAAACCATGTCGACATGGAGCCCTTTTGGATCCTCAGGAGGTGAAGATTCCATCAGAGAAGAAGATAAAACATCCTCAATAACCACTGTAGATCTCTTTCGATGAACAAGTGTTGAGCACTTCAAAGGATATTCAGTGTCGCCATTTAGAAATTGTTGTTCCTTTACCATATATGGCTCTTCAAATTCCTTTATAAAGAATCCGTGGTATTCCAAAAGGTCTTCCATGTTTTCATCCTAAATAAAAAACAGTATAGAGAACTAAAACCTCCTCAATAATGAATTAGAGGCAAATCAAATCAACCTAGAGAATATTACCTCCATTCCAAGCCACTTGGCAACCTGGGTTACCGGTATGCCTTGGTTATTCTGCAGACCACTGTGTAGAGAAGCAAGTGCCTGAGTTCGTAACTGGTAAAATCAACATAAAAAGTAAGTCAACATTTTAAAACATCAAATAAACATTCACACCTATGTCAATGTCAAATACAGGGAATCAGAGTGGTAAAAGTTACATGAATGGCAGATCAAGTTTTACCCATGAAATTAATTCATAATCTTAAGCAATTACAGAGTCACAACGAAAAAACAGTATTCTGGGTTTCATAAAACAGAGTATATCACTCTGAAAAATGCATAAGAAAGCAAAAGACTAGACCTTGCCAAAGTGAGCATGCATTAAACATGCTTGAAGATAGCTAGCTTTCCTAACCAGACGAAAGAAGGCTATAAAATTACCAGTTCTGCAGGCTCTGGGAGAACAAAACAAGAGAAGAACATGAGACTTTGGTAATTTTAAAAAAATTGTAAACGTTAATCTGAGAGATTAGACAACCTAGCTACATTACGAGCAAATAGCACTTCTGCAGTTTGTCGTATCCCTGGCGTCATCTTGGCCAGATCAAGTGAGAGCTCTGCTGGTTCAACCTACAATGGTTTCCACTTGTTAGAAGGACATTGGGTATAAAACTAGCAAAAATCATATTGCCATGGCAGTTGACTTACTTTGTAGCCGGGATGTTTATCCAGTTTGAGAAGTGCATAATAACCTCTAAATTCTCTTTCTGTAGGCACCTCTGTTCCTTTCTTCCGGTGATCATCATACAACTGGAATAACTCAACTGATGTTTTGTTCATCTGTTCAATATTGAGATGTGCATCGAATCCTTCTGAAAACCCTTCTCCTTTCGTATATTGACATAATTCATGCATGGCAATAATATGAAGCCGTATCTGACAACAGCAACAAGTCAATGATCAGAAACACATGACAAACAGCAATCACACTATGAACCAAATTCACAGAAAACATGCTGCTGAGAGTGTAATGCCAGACTTGAAGAAGTTGGATCAGAGAAGTGATTTCATGAAAGTTTCCAAGTATTGAAGAAGACACAGAGATCTGAGTGCATAGTTCAGAGTTGAAGATCAGCCGAGAAAGCCTAAGTTTGAAGGATCAGAGATGGAGTCATGAAGACTCGGAGTTAAAGTGTAGAACAGTCATTGTTTGGAAGACAAGTATGGATATGCCTTTCCAGACATGGGAAGTTGGAAGAGATCTAAATGAAGATTTTGATCATGTTTACTCTGCACTCTACAAGCCTTGGAGAAGTTTCAAGTTCAGAAGACCCAAGGATACTAGAACACATGTCATGTTTGTATTGGTCTGTATTGTGTCATGTGACTTGAACGTGTCTTCTGAATTTGTAGTATATGTCTATAGATTCTAGAGTCAGTAGTCATTAAGTATCTCTCTGAGTATCAACTGTAAACTTTCTCTCTCTAGAATACTCTCTCAAAGCTTGTAACTACTTTATTCAATCAATGACATATGACTTCCCTGCCCTAATTGTGTGTTCTTGAGTGATTATATCTTTGATATTATCTTGTTTCTGTTTGAATTGATCGAATCTTTAGATCTTTGGGATCATCAAAAAGCATATACTAGCAAGATTATAAAAGAAAAGATGAAAAGATGGGACGAATAGAATATGGCATGGGATTGACAACAAAACAGTAGATTTTGATGTCTACGCATCCTATAAGCTTATGAGTAGATTGTAACATTATACGATGTCACAGAACTTGCCCCATCAACATGCTAGGGGGGAGGGGGGGTTGTAGTCTAAGTGATCACAGGAATGCTCAGGGAATAAACAGGTTTGAAGAGATTTAATAGTTTCTTGAATTACTCTTTTAACTATGAATTCCTGAAGGCACTATGAGCGGAATTGTGCAATTTACAGTAACAGATTGATGATACCAAGCATGGTTTTGTATGAAATAAAATAGGAAGAGCAAATCAGATATAGAGGCGTGATATTCTGCCAAAAAAAAAAAAAAAAAAACAAGCCAAGAGAAGAAAATCCAGAGGATGCTTATGTGGTAAGGTCATAACCCATCAAAGGGTAATGGAGACTGTAGAACAAAAAAGGGGGTTCCCAACAATTGTTGCTGGGGCAGAACAGGTTGGTGATGGTGGCCACAGGGAACTAACGTAAAGGAAATGTCTTTGAGGCATCACACAGTCCAAATTTTATAATGTGGTCGGCTGCTAGTGAGGTGAAGACAGTAGTAGTGCTTCTTATGTTGGCAGCATAGGCAATACTGCTGTGTTGTTTAAGGGTAAGTACCCCTGTTTCAGAGTCAAGGCTCACTCAACTACAATGTCGAGATTGGAATAAGATTTTATGTTACTGTCTTGGATGACATATATAGTACAGATATGGTTCAATGATTTGAAAATTATAAATAAATACCACTACGAAGCATAATATAGCATAAGAATGGTTGTTTCAAATAGAATAACAATACTTCTGAGAAAAGAACAGACCATCTGCTCCAGCATAGTAATAGCCCCTAGATTGAAGATATGCTGCATTCTCAGGTCCATCCTGATCGCCCTCATCCTGTCCCACAAAAAGTTATATAAGCCAAGAAATCTGTCATCATAGTGCTGATCCAGCAAGTTCAAAAGATAGTCCATTGTCTTTTGCAGGATTGCCATCGGTCTTATCAGAGCAGCTTCCCTCTCAGCTGTCCTAGTGTACTGGAAATTACACAGAGAATGTCTTATTCCTTAATCATTTTTAAGACTAAATAGAACCCAGCATGGTACAAACAAACAAAAGCTATATCAAGCAGACCCAACACTTACCTTTTTAACTGCAAGATATTCAGTTGTCTGGTTCCTATGCCCATCCAAACGTTCATATTGATCAAGATCTCCTTTCCTCTCCCGCTCTGCTCTTTCTTGCTCTGCACAGTAAGCGAAGAAAATTAAGTGCATAGTTGTTAAAAATATAGACATTAAGCTGCTTGCAATACTATAGAGCTCAGCAACGACTAGTGTCCAGGCCTTAGATTTTGTATTGTATTAGACTAACATAGCCCATGTTCCCCTCACCACTCCCCAAACAAACACACACACACTCTTACACAAAAGCATCTGTAGTGATCCAAGGTTACAGCCAATGATCACCATGAACTCTTTGTTTGACTAAAACTGGTGATAGTTTCATATTGTATGGCTCCTCTAACTTGAAATAAAACCCTTTGACTAATCATGCTAGGTTTTTTTTTTAAACTTTGCTCATCCTTTAGACCCTTTAAAGCTGAAAATTCAGTTATCCCATAAGTGAATTCATTACAAATTTGCTTTTGCTTCATAATCGTTTAGTAGGTTCATCTATTGTTCCCTTTTAATGCAAAAGAAATTTTATGTTGTCAACTAGATAAAGTATCCAGGAACATAATGCATCTTCCACATTAGTTTACTTTAATTCCATTTATCGTTCACTCCTAACCTCAAGCTGGTTGATAACATTTCAATAATATGGTCACAATTTTCAGCTAGTCATTTTTAAACATTTACTCATGATGCACAAACACGCAGTCCTTCGTATGCTAAGCACACTCGAGTGGCAGCGTTATTATAAAGCTTATTACACATGTATTTAACATGAAATATAGAGCTGGATATTGCATCTTCTTTGAGAGATATCTTGTGTTTTGGAAGCTGGCAGTCTAAAAAAATGATGTTTCACAACTAATGCATAGCCTGAGTACAGGTTCATGGCATGTACAGCATGTGAGGTCACTGGGTGCTTTAGTTCAAAGTTAGGGGGTTCCTTATCTGGTTTAGTGAAGATGCATTCTGCTAATGAGGCCATCGCATATCTCCAAAAATCATGATTTTCAAGAGCAATACTTCAAATTTGATTGTGAGATAGTGATTAGAACCTCTTATGAGTCTCCCTCTATTGAGCTAGTTTGGGAGCTCATAATACCAAATTGTCTATATCTTGACAAAGCCCTTCACAGAGCTCGGATTGATGCTAGATTCTGCAAGTGCAGTTAGTTTTATAGCAAACTCAGAAAAAGTGAAATAAATTTGTCATGTAGTTACCAAGAAAGGTTCAGAGTTAAAAATGAAAGGTTTTTGCTTTCTCTGGTTTTTTCTTCTCGCTCTATTCTAGGTTCCCCATCGTTGATGCATTGGACTCCTGTCCTCTTAAGCTTAACAATACTTTGTGACATTTTAATTATTACAACTACACTCGCCAAAAGTTACCAGTATCCATTCAATGCATGGGTTTACCCAAAAAACACAGGTACCAAGTGATAGTTTTTGAGTTAAAAGAATGGAAACTTGTGCACCCAACCTGTTATACCTGTGGGTAAGCCCTTGTATACCTCTAGGTTTTAGTTTAACTTCTGAAAACAAAACTTACTATTACATGTTCAACATTTGATGTGGCTTTCAATTTTGTGATTGTTGTATGGAATATGGATCATGGTATGCTTCTTGTTAGTTAATTTCTGGTATGTCGTTCTAATGTTGTACATGTGTTAATGACTTGTTGACATTATTTCTATACATAAGAAAAAATAAATTTTAAAAGTTCTTTTTTTCCGATATACTCAGGGATGCACGGGGAATAGGTATCAGGTAAGTATATGGAGCACCAAAAATCGCAGGTAATTTTGCACCCACAACCAGTATCCGCCAGTTGAATGGTTATCGCACAAGTGTACCCGCCTATGCAGTGATTCATCCTTAAAAAAAACCTTGTGATGAGCTTATATGCATAATTATAACAAAACATGTTTATACATCTTCATTTGTCCATATGCAAGTATCAGCATTATATATTGCCATGCATAGTCCACTTTTGCTCTATATATATATATATATATATATATGCGGGGGGAAAGCTAAACAATCAATAGCTTTCTTGAATGCACATATGATATAACTAGGCAGCCTAAGTAGCACTTAGACCATGCCCAAAATATGTTTTCCCTCTATTCAAAACAGAGTCCTCTATCAACTTCAAAATTGATATAGCAGTTTTTGTCTTAGAAGGATAAAAGGTATGGCTTCTGAATGATAAAAGAAAGTATAATTCCTATTATTTTGTTATAATAAATGTAGCAACAGTAGTTCCAACGTTACAGAAATAAACTTTTTGCAAAGTCCTAGGTTTCTTCTCTACACTCAAACATGGAGTCCTTTATGGAACAAATTGGGTATAACATGAATTTATCTACCCAACCCAACAGAAGCTTAGTTTTTATCAATTTGGAACTATATATACATGGTATCTCCTTGAGCCAAAAAGATTATTATCAAGTGGCACATTCTTGAATGGTTACAATGAAGTGAAACTATGCTAGATATAGACATAGAGTATTGTGATGGAGGCATGGAGCATAACTACTGAAGTCTACTGATGGAAAATAAAGATGCATCTAGAAATGAACAAACAAATAAATAAAACCCAAAGTATCATCAGAAATCATATCCGACATGCAAAAAGCACCAACTAATTATAACATTGAATCCTTGGGAAGTGTGTTAAAAAATGCCTTGATAGAAAGACAAGGAAAAAGTACCTGGACACATATCTGGACAGTATCCAATTATAACAGTGGATGAATCTTGATCTTCACCATCAGTTTGTGTGTTGCTATTACGTAAAGATGCTGTCAAATCCGAAGCTTCCCCATTGAGCTTTCTTTTGTCCATACCCAACTGACCAAGCTGCTGTGTCTTTTGGTTTCTATTGCCAGTATCACTTGGCTCAGGTTGGCTAAGTTCGTCTTTAAAGCGGGCCAATCGCTTTGCTTTAGCTTGCAATTCTCTGCAGAGATTAGTTAAGTAAAAGAAATGCTAATATGAGAAACATAGACATGCCTACACAATGTACAGGGTGTGGATATAATTCAATAGGTTGAAAACATCACACCTTTCTGTGTCATCATGTACAACACTGTTATTCATCCGTAACGCTGGGTCAGTTGATGCTGGAAAAGGCAACCTACTCCTTTTTGGAACTGGGATATCGCTTGGATTAGTTGCAGGTGCTTCGGGTGTAAAAAAATCGGCAGATGGTGGAGACCAAACATGACTTTCTGGATCAGCTTGACTAATGAGTCTTGTACTTAATCTAGGAGGAGATACAGAAGGCCTAGAAAAAGAACACAGAAAAATGATGACAACCTGAACAATGATAGCAAAGAACATTTGGACTATAATGTTGATTCTAACATGTCAAAGTGGCCATGTAATTTTTGTTCTTGCCAGTCAATTTTTCTTTTTCTGGAAAAATTGATACATTTGATAGTTTTTCACTTACTCGAACCAAAATTATTTATCAAAATTACACATAGACTACCACAAGCACAACCACTGCAATCAAAACAATTCGGCCAGTCCTTAATCCAAGGAAAGGGGCTAACAGTATTGTGCTCATTTGAACTGAATATCAGGCATCTATCTGAAAGGTATAAAACTATAGTGCAGCTTTGTTGGACATTTTGTTCCTCTTGTTGCAGTGTTATCGCCAAGAGTACTATGATAAATACTGTAAAATATAATCTCTTTATTGCAATTCCATCAACTTAGATCTCCAAGAATCAGATATTCATGAAGGTGGACTGTCACTTTGTCCGTGCGTACTGAGCCAGTAGAGATCGAGCAGCTGGTATTTTGGCAATACCCCTTTGAAAAATACATTTTGATGCGATTTGCAGGAAGTTGGTCCCTTTTAACATATATGCTCCAACAGACAATAGGTGTAGGATAAATAAATGTAACTTCAAATGTTCAACGGACATTCATTTCTTAAATTCTAATACTTTCAGAGGCCCACTATGAACTCTACTTGATGCCACTTTGTATTAATGATATGGAAACATTTTTCCTAAACCTTTTTCAGTGTTCAAATGACATACAACAGAATTATAAATACAATTATACTTGTTTTAAACCCGTTCCTAGTAGAAATGGCACTGAAGATGCTTAGCTACAAGCATGCTTACAGACTTAACAGATAGTCAGAAGCAAATGCAAATTCCTACAGCTGAAGCATTAGAACTTTCTGAAACAACAATGCACTTGAAGGCTTGAACCTTATCGAATGACGGAATATCCCCTAAACTTCCAGAAATAGAAGAAGTAAATAGACCCCAGAAACTTTTAGAGAGTAACAAATGGCCTGTGATTTTCCGAAAAAAATGCACCACCGGACTTTTAAAGATGATAGTACAACACCTAAACTATCACGAAATGAACAACTAGCAGTTGGATGTCCAAAGAATTACAGAAGATCGCTGGCCTTGTAAAGTTATGCTGGTCTCTGTCCTAGTAACTAGTAAGATTTCAAAAAACCACCGAGATTAAAAATCAGTTATGGTCAACTGGTCAAAGTCTCATAGATGCAACAATATCATAACTGGATCTTAATGCAAAGAACAGAGCCACAGAGCATAGCAACAGCTTACACATTGACAAGATTAGACAAAGTCAAAAGGCCAGAGCAGCTGAACGATGAAGCAACAAATCAACAAATAACAGATCTGCACAAAAGATGCAGAATGCAGCAAGTCGACAGAGCGATCTCTATCAGAAGTGACACATCATCTATCAGATGAGAACCAAGACAATTCTCTGCAGGTACCTGGGGAGATTGAAAGGCGGTGGCAGCAAAAGCTTTTAGCAGTGGCTGAAAGTGGCGGCAAAAACATGTTGCCACTGGCAGTGTCTTCAGCAGGTAGGAGTAGGACTTGGCTAGTTGGCTGTACCTAGGCTCCGATATTGTATTAAAAGTGAAAAACCCAGCATATACATATGCATGAGCTTCATTGGGCAGGGCAGCAAAACATAGGTAGTACACACGTACCTAACTGCGAGACTTGTGGGGCTTACATTTCCATGTCTAGAGTTGTGGCTTTGATACCAGACAAACATGGATTCAATAAGTGTGCATGTATCATTCATCAAAATGGAAATTTATAGAATACAAGATGGCCGAGCCACAGCCACCAAACCTATATTACACATTAATCCTATGTCTCTCGAAAGATCTACTACCACTCTATGTCACCAATACATTCAAGACTCAAGCAGCACAGTTCTGGAAAATCTTGCACGTACCCATATACATTGCTTCATCCTTCAATTGAAATGGAAACCAGGTAGTGGTCAAGACATTAAACAAAACTACTGCATGTGAATGGACATAGTACACACGAGCATGAAAGTAGCTCAAACCACACTTCATTATCTGCAGTAAAAAACATCTTAAAGTGTAATCCAGAAAAGACAGATCATCTCATTATTTTCATTGTATGGAATACAGAGACATAGAGGAAGATAGATCCTGCACTTAATGCATCGGACCGCTGGGTTAAAGAATAACTACAGCGATGGATAAAATTGAGTAATTAACAGCTAATTCTGAAAAATAAAGCTGGTGAAATAGTTCATGTGTGCATGCATGAATAGGATATCTGCAAGCTTGGAAGTTAAACTTACCTTTTAGTTTCACTTGAAGGGCCAAAGCCTTTCCCCGGAAGACTTTTCTGATAAATATGAGGAGGAGATTTGGTTCTCAGAGGAACAGAGTGGCTGCAAGTACATGAGGAGCATAATCAATGACCGTTGACAATACTTACAGAAGAAAGGCAAAAAGAGAACAAGTTGTGATCGACTGGTGTGAAAAACTAAGATGTTTGGTGGTTAAATCTGCCACAAAGAACTTAATTATTATGTGCAAGCATGGAATGCAGCACTAGATATAATGGACTTGCAAAATATCAAATCAAGATATTTTTTATTGATCTGCATAATATTAATCAGTTAATTTAAAAATAAACAAAGATTGACTAACAATATCTATAGGACAATAAAGTACTAGTCACAAAAGTTTTTAGGTAAATACTTTTGGAGAAAACCAACTTAATCATTACTAGTCGTGGTCACTAGCTTCAGGAGAAGATCAGCATTTGGATCATATAAAAGAGTTTTAGTAAATCAAATCCTAAAGCAGTTGCAAATGATCAACTGATAAAAGGTAATTTCCATTTTGTCACAGTTTCATAAAACATATGCCAGAAAAAGGCATTGTCGAAGTTCATGCCTTTGGTCCAAAGTTGTTAAAGGCTCAAAGCGCACTTAGGAGCAAAGGGGCCTAGGCGTGAGGTGCCGGCCTCAGGAATGTGAGGCGCATCTTATAAAAAAAGATATATATATACACACACTCACAGTTATACACAACTCAAATATATAGTAAGTACTCCAGTGTAGCAACCAGCAGTACTTCGATACAGGCAGAAGGTAGAAGGGTTTAAAGCAAGAGCCATGAGGGAGAAGTTCTAAGGTCTGTGTATTTATAGAAAGACGCTTGAAGTTATAAGAGCTAGGTATTTAATATTAGGGTTTGACTTATTTCATCTATTTAATTACTCTTTGTTTAAGAAGTCTAGGAGATAAGCAAATGAGAAAACTTATTTAATATTGGGATTTGACTTGGTATTTAATAACTCTTTATGAGGCGCGCCTAGGCCCACAAGGCGCCTCAACCAAGGCGCAGGGCCTTAATGAGCCTCGTGAATACGCCTAGCCTCGACTTTAAAAAAAAGCCCAAGACCTTGAGCCTCAGAGCCTAGGCGCGCCTCAAGAGCGCTTTTAGCATATATGTTTTGGTCAACTGGTAGTAAGCCCACACAAGAAGTAACCTCGGTTGGACGTTCAAGCTGCATAAAAGGTGATTGTATGCACATGTGGGTGTTGGTGCTTTTAACCCATCCAAAAAAGTACTGCCAATTAGACCACTATTTTAATTCAGCATAGCTTGATTATCTTCATCAGAGGCTCGTCTCTAATTCTTAAAACTAACTGCACACATGATATTAGTAGGAGAAAATAAATTAATAAAAGTTCAATTAAATAAAGGATACACCGCTCCTCTGTCCCCAAAATTTATGCAGCAATTTCTTTCTAGAAAGTTCCTAAATAAATGCAATGCTTCCCATTTTGGCAAGTTCTCTGCTCAATTTTACTTTTTGCTCAATAGTAATCATTACAAGATATAGTTGACATTATTTGGTCCACAGGTTTTCATCATTTTGTCCTTGTTGAAGAGCATTCTACACACTTCGACCAATTGTGAAACACTCGATGCCAAGTCAAACATCACATTTATTTTGGCCCAGAGGGTAGAGAGAGAGATGACAAGAATTTCACGGTTTCACCGCAAAGAGAACAGCAAGAATGTTAATTGGTCATATTGAAAAAGAAAAGACAGAAAGTATCTTACCTCCCTACAACAGTTCTTGAGTTTTGCAGAAGCTCTTTATCAGTGGAGAGTAAAGGTGGTGATCTTGTTCTTTTCAGATCTTGAAGTTGGATTTTGGCAGGAAACTCGGTTCCTGGATTACGTGATGGAATGATAGGCGACAATGCAGGACTTCGATGACCTTCGGGTTTTAGAGAAGTACCACTGAACCTACAGGAGGAGATGAGAGCTATAAGTGACTTTTTAGATACACTTCAAGAGAAAATTCATATGCACAATGGACCCAAATACCAGAGAACAAATTAACAAACAAACAAATAAAGGAACAAAACAAGATAAAAAAGCATTGGAAGGGGTGTTTGGTATACCAATTCTTCATTAACAAAAGCGTAAAACAACAAGAATCAAGTGGCATCAAAGATGTCCAATTCAGCAGTTCAAGACCTAAACCTCGACCCATTGAGCCTGTTAAATAATTGGTGTGATGAGACTAAAACCTATATTTAAATTGGCCAACATAACCCTCTGATGATCAATCAGAAAAATATCAGCCAACACTCATTAATTCAAACTGTCATCTGAAGCAAGACTGTTTTATATCCCTAACTTTTTGCATTCATTTCAGGAAAGAATAAAGCTGGTCACACAAAATCCAAGCCAACAATACAGCACTATCTCAATAACATTAAGACAGCAAATATGAGCACAAAAGAGCAAAAGCAGACAAAGAAAAACAACAAACAGAGTCTCCTTCATGTATAATCTTTGAAACACACCCTCTATTCTCCTTCACAAGGCAGCTTTATTTAATATATTTGGATTAAACATCACTATTTTCATCAAAAGTTCCAAGCTTCCAGCAAGTGAGTTATTACTGCTACATAATCTATGCATTCAAGATTAAGATGTAATTTGTTTTGTGAAGAAAACCTCTTATTTACCACTTATTTTTTGTAATATCGAACTGTATGTTTTTTTAATTCTATAAGAGCTTAAAACCTCTTATTGTCCCCTTTCCTTCTGGGGTGACAAAGATTTCATACCATTCAAGCCCCCTTATTGGAAAAGAGGTAAAACAATGTCTTATTAGCATCTACAGCAATCTTATATCCCTAAAATCTCTGTGTAGCCTCGTTATTCATTTTGCAGTGTGTATAGACAGTATAATGAGGTCAAGTTTTTTAATAAACTTTTGATTTTTTTTATTTATTTTTTCATGCGAATTAATTTATTAATAAATAATTATATTTATTAAAAATATTAATATACTTAAAAATAAAATTTAAATCAGTAACAATATTTTGACTATTAAATACTATGTTATTTATCATATTATAAATTATGTTCTAAAAAAATTCATATAATTATGAATAAACAAGTGAAATTGTTAGAAATATGTTGAAATGGATGGGCAATGTATAATATTTTCTTTCTGAAACTAAGTGTAATATTTACAAAAGATTTCTTAATAATTATCTTATATATCTATGATTAAAAATACAAGTTATATTATGAGGGGTAAATTAGACAATTATAAACATTCAGACATTTATCACAGTTAAAAACAAACAGTCTTATTAATTTTGCTTTCAGACTGCAACAGCACCACGTCTTCTCAATCAGAAGTGAAACAAGACTTCAAACTTCAACACCTCTTATAAAACAACCAGCACCTAAGGCTCACAGGAATTGCATAACAGAACGAAAAAGAGATATTGGAGAAAAGGGCTCCAAATCACATTATTACAGAACAACAAAACTAACAAGTTATGGCTCAAATCACCAAACACTTCACGTTTGTGATAAACAGACTACAAATGTAGAAAAATTAGGGGCATTCAACCAAAGCCCCTTTCCCTTGATCAACTAAACAGTCTTGCTACTCTGTAGAATGCATAAACTAAACACAATCATAGACTGACAATGTGGATAACAGAGACGAAGAGGCATTCTGATAAACGTGAAGCATTTTAGGCCTAAGTGATCATGAATAGCCAATCATTGCTGGCATCATTGCTGGCAATACATATCAACGTATTACATAGTAATACACTCAGGTTAACATAGATTTAAACTTGGACTTCATAGAGTCATGTTTAGCCTAGCTATTCAATGTTCCACAAAGAGCCACAAATGTCTCTCTGAGATAAATTTGGGTTCCAACTAGAATTTCATATTTTAACCTGTCCAGAGCTACAAGTCCATCAGTGTAAAGATATTGAGGGGTATCCTTGGCTAACATAACAATCCTTCAAACCCAAAACATTAATATTGTGCAGAACTTTAATTTAGGACTGGGGTAGATCCAAGTAAGAGACTTTCTTGTTCAAGACCATATCTACTTTCATAGTCATCAACATCAGGTAGTAGCCTGTACTAACCTTTGGAATGACTCTACTACTTTGTTTTTAGTTGAGTCCATGCCATGTGTTAGCCTAGGGTGTCCATCCAAGTAATTCAGCATAGTCCTGTCTGTGATGCATGGGAAAGAAGTAAAGAGGGTCATCATACGTATTACCTTTACTACATTCTGCACCAGCTCATGTCAGACCTGCTATGTGCTGAAGCTATTCCAGGTCATCCAGAGGATGTCCTATTGCTGCTTCCATTGAATTCAAGAACAAGTTTGGCAATGGCATTCTTGAGAAGTTTCTATATGTCTTGACATTGTAAAGTTGAAGTTTCAAATGATTCTCTGAAATGTTCGTTTCAGCTAGTTTTTAGTCTATTGGATATTTTTAAAAGTCTATGTATGTTTATCCTCCAAACAAAGCAAGAGTTTAGAAATAAATTAGGGTTCAGCTGCGGTTTCATATGTCTATCTGTCCACATACATGCCCATGAGTCCATTTAACTTGGCGACACTTGCTTTCAAATTAAAACATTAGCATTCGATATAAGTTCATGCCTACCACCGATCCATCCCTAAAAAGGTGCATACGTGATTCATGAAGCACCTAAGTGGTATCTCTTTGTTAAAGCATAACAAAGAACACAATCACAGCAACTAATAGCATACACACAAAACTTAGGGTTTCTTGTTTCCTTTCGGAAAGTTTCATTCTTTTGGGGTTTTCACAGTTCATTTCCTATAGGGGCGTACCGCAACACTAACATAAAACGTAGTTGCTTACAACAGCATATATGAAATTAAATAAGACAGAAATCTTGGGAAGACTATACCCGGATGAGGGTGATTGCGAAGAAGGGCGGTAACCGAAGGGGGGTTGCTGTTTCGGGATACCAGCACCTGGACCTGAATTCTTGTCAAATCCCTGCATTTTAGTTTAATTCACAAGCAAAGTGCATGCATCTGAATCTCTTCATTGTTTGGGTGTCATAATGGCCAACGGAACCTACACAAAATGAATGTGGACCTCTTTTAATAACAAATTCCATATAAATCAGAGCTCACAGGTCTGATTGAAGGCATAAGGGTTTTCACAGCTGAGCTGAAGAGAATAAAACTAATTATAGCAAACAGTAGAATAAATAAAAAACATCAATTTCGTACTTAGGGTTCTTCTTGGTCTCTTTCGAAGTTGGTGTCAGGCAAAAGCATGGACGAGCGAGAGTGATGTGTGCGTGTTTCACAGATGTATTTTAATCAGAACTGAAGACCCAGAGAGATTGTAACTCGTATACAATCGGACAAGCAGCTGAAGTTGGCCCAAAATAGATAACTACATGTGTACCAGGGGGCAAACAGACCGAATGCCGAAGCAACTAAAACCCCAATCAGTTGGGGAGTTCTGATATTCGGAGGAGAAGACGAAACAACCCGAGCATGCTACCATTTCATGATTCCATTGTTTGATTGGAGCCGCCGTCTGTCCGCTCGCTCGGCTCCGTTACGGTTTTTAAGCGGCTAGGTGAATAATCTTACCGTGAACAAAAGAAAATGGGAGATAAAAAAGAATAAATTACAGATTTGGTCCATGTTTGTTGAAAATTATAATTAGGTCCATTAACTTCATTTATTACACTTTGAGTCTCGGCGGTTTTCAATAAGTTACGACCCGCATCTTTTCTACTAACTCTGTTAAATGGGGGTCATTTTTCATCATCCAATTAGGTGTTGTCACGTGTCCTTTTACTTTGACCCCTTCCTTCTCGGGTCATCTTCTTTGACGACCTATGATAGTTCATCTTCTTCGACGACACACCATCCATCATCTTCTTTGACAACTTGAAACCAATACCATATTGCCTTGCCTCCAACCATCCCCACCTCATCTTCTTCCCAAGACATCATCACCAACCGGATGCCAAAAAAATCAAATCAAATAAGACAAGCCAAACCAAAATATGCAAAATAGAAGCAAGTCTTTCATCTTTAACCTTTGTCTCTCGATCTTCAGACACTGAAGCCAAATTCTAGATTTGTTGCAAAAAGATTGACGAAGATCGGAGATGATGGCTAGAGACGAAAAAACCCGCTTGGGAGAAAAGAAAAGAAATTCATAGTCTCCAACCTAATTACAGCATCATCAAAGATATCTTTGTGGGATTCTTCGAAAATTGTTCAATGGGTTTTGATTTTCGTGTTTTGGCATTGTTGATGAGGACGATGACATAGTGGAAAAGAAGATAGGAGGGTGTAGGAGAGAGAAGGGGACGATGTCAACATTAAAGGGACATATTTGGCGGTAAATGAGAGAAAAGACGTGATTGAGCGTTCATCGTTACTAGTGGTAGTGATAGTAAGTGGTGAGGAGGTATATGAAACACCCCAAGAATAGGGACGACAAAATTTCCATAAATAAACTGGAAATGTGGTATATAATATCAAGATACGAGTTTCGCCCAAAAAAGGAACGAAATATACCAGTTAATTACAATTGCAAATAAATTGGTTTGAGGTTAACAACCTCCTAATCTAATCTTTACAGAAAATAGATTACAATTGGGTGTCACTTAAACCATCAAAAGACTATAATGTTGCTTGGCGTCCCACAACATTCCCTAAAGCTCTTTCTACAAGGGATGATCAAGCCTTCATAAAACCTCTGCTACTAGAACCTAAGATACATGTCGGCATAAGACAAGTGTTAGGCCAAAGTAAGAACTATTAATTTAAAGAAAGGTATGAGTGTAAGCATTATCTTAGACATCTGTAGTAACTTCATGGTCAGAAATAAGTACCACAAAATATCTATAAGAATACCTTTCTCTCGAAAGTGAACTCTCACAGGAAGTAGCCACCTTTATCCACAAAATCACCACTTTTGCCAACTCAAGACTTGTCGATTTAACTAAGTAGATATCCAACTATTGTAGCTCTACCAATATGAAAATACATGCCCAAATCTCTTTGTGACACCAAAATCAACCGACATTTGAACCTTAGTTAAAATCATATAAAAACTCGCATCTCTATATGGTTACAAAAGACTCTCTCAAATCTTTTTGTATTACTCAAGCCATATTTTCGGACATCTATGGGGCTAAGATCTAATATTAACACTAACAAATGATTGGCTTTTGGCTTTTCCATATTGAATTTAGGTACCGACTCAAGTGTTGTCCACTAGTCTTAGCTTTGGCTCACACCCACACCCAAATGAGAGCATAGATAATACTTAAAGTAAATAACATAATAGAAGAAGAAGAATATTTAAAGATTACTTGCATAAAAAAATAAACTATAAAATGTCGGCACTTATGTTGCCACTAGTGGCGAACAGTGCTGAAAATTACATAATTAGAAATGAACTACAACTATCTAAGAAAACAAGATACAAAGAGGAATAGTTGGAGATTTTCACATTGTTGGAGCTCCCTTTCCGATGAAATCCCAAGGTCTTTTATTTATAATGGAGGATAAAAAAGGTGGTGGAGAGTTTTACCCACAAAAACTTCCAATGAGCTTATATCTCCTTTTACCCAAAGGCTCTTTGTCTTCTTCATCAGTTCTTTCATGAAATCCCACGCATTGATTTCTCTCCTTCAAGCCTTTAGGTAGGCATTTTTGGGCATGGATATCTTTCCACCGAGATTTTTCTTTTGCCTTTTGTCTTATATTCATTTTCCTTAGTCTCTAGTGTTTGAACTTTAAAAATGTCATTATGTAGATGAAAAGGGCAGAAGAATACATGCAAAAAATGATATTTTTTTAGTTGTCTTCGTATTTACGTTGCTCACTACAATACGGAATAAAGTGGCCACCTTCTGCAGTCCAACATTTAACCCAAAAATGATGTGTCTAACCATCAAGACACAAAGTTTTGTCCTTAACAACTCCAAATGAAAATAAATAAATAAAAATGAGAAACACAAACTCATAAAGGGGAAACACACACTAAAATGGAAGAAAAACACACAAACATTTGTGTATATAATACTTAAAATGGGAGTTATTAGAAATCCTGAATGAATCTTAGGTAGTAGCCGGCCAATCCTAAGAAGCTCCTAATCTTCGCCAGGCTTGTTGGCAGTTCCCAATTCATCATTGCTTCAATCTTTATGGATCTACCATTATCCTATCTCGAGTCACCATATGACCTAAAAATTGAACTTCCCAGAGCCAGAATTCGCATTTGGAGAACTTAGCGAACAATTTCTTCTTTCGTCGAACTTCAAGAACCTCCCGAAGGTGTCGTTTGTGCTCGACTTCATATTTTGAGTAGACCTGAATATCATCAATGAGCAGTATTAACGATCGGTCCATGAATGGAATGTAACACCCTTATTTTCACCATGAGTTGTGTCACGTCATTCTCATTAAATAACAATAAATAACCCCAAAATATAGCGGCTAATAAAACCTTATTACAGCGGAAGTCTTACAATAATTTAATCGTAATCAACATCTCAAAACTAATCCTTCCCATATCGGGTTACATTACATATAAATTCAATTAAAATACCAAGCACTTTATAAATCATAACTTGAATAACGTAGTTCTATTTTCTACGCAAAACCTTTGCCCTTGTTCGTTCTTGAACTTCCAGCTCTTGAGATGCATACTAATAGTCAGCTTTATAAAGCTCTGTGAGTTCATGGTTTTTATACACAATCATACATATTTCATCATGTATAAAACAAACAATACCCCCAAATAAGATAATATGCACATTTGTTTCAAACCCTTTTTAAATAATAATGAAATCTCTTAATTTTTCGTCGGGTTAAGGTCTTACTGTCATCGGCACTTTCCCGGGTTATACGACTATCCCTTGTTCGATCACCCATCCCTAGGATGTGTCATCGCTTATGACTTTTAACCCATTTCCATACCGGACAAAAATATTAACTCATTTATAACATGCTAATTAATGTTTAAAAACACGTAAAAAAAATAGCATGCAACCCACAATAATAATTCATATACATGTAATAAACCCATAAACATGTACATAAAAATAACGTAATGCTCAAATTATTTGTACATAAGCATGCATCACAGTTAAAGTCTCATGAAAACTCACCTGAATAGCTCCGCTTAGCTAAACCTCGTCCATGAGTAATATCCTATAACATATAATTACATTCCACAAAGAGAGTCTTGACTTTTCCCAAAAAGTCAACCCAAAAGTCAAATGGGTCAACCCTAGGGTTGACATGGTCAACGGGTCAAACCTAAGCATACCTCATCGCCATGTACCCCCTCCCCAATAGAATTTTCCATATCCAAAATAAATTACAACGTATTAAACCCAACATTTAATTATATATGATTCTCGTTATAAAAACGTCTGATCTCACAATTATCTAGTCACAACAACCGAAGTTATTAAAAAATTATCATAATTTAAATTTGGAAATTAAATTAATTAATATCCTTTACGATTGATGTCCAAAATCTTGACCAACTTAACCGAAACATCCTGATTTATTTCGATTAATTCAAGTAAATAAATGAGTCTCAAATCTTTTTTTAACAAATACCGATTTTATCAAAACAACTCGAGTCTAACCGAACTCAATCGACACCATTCGGCCATGGTCCAAACCTGGTCTAGCGTCGGCTGGCTCAACTCGACGCCCGACCCAACTCGGTCGCACCCTTCATGCGACTATCGTGAAAGACCTCCGTTTGAGATTGTTTTTCAACTGTTTTTCACCAAACTTTTTACAAAATTATATATATTATAATAATTCCAACTCGTACCCAATTTTACAGCTCCTACGGTTCAATATTAAACTCGTATTTTGAGTTTTTGTACCCGAATCTCGTCGAGCCGCTGCCACAGCAGCTTCTAGCCTAAACCGCTCAACGTACAGGCCACCACAGCCCACGAGACTTGTACCAACAGAAAGGTAATTGACAAACAAAGCCAACCATATATTATACATCAATTGTGGTTGAGTATTTTACCTCCAACCGCCGTTTTTGTGTGGAATGACCCTATGCCGCTCCAAACTCGATATCTCTCTCGTTTCTTGATGAAATCCCGAAATTCCAAAGGCGTTTACTCCCTTACACCCTTAGGAATGTCTCCCCAAAAATTCAACCGAATATTCCAATTTATAGGCCATCAAATCGTGTCTATAATAGGAAAAACGTGATTTGGGAAATGATTTCCCAAATCTCAATCATTTCCAAATTAGTTTTCCACTTTTGGCAAAAATAGTCCTTTTTGTTTTTCTTTCTGCAATTTCACCCCAAATCAATAAAATACAAAACGCTCCATTTCCTTTTTTATTGATTTTATTTATTGCAATAAAATCATATTTTTTCCAAGTATGTATGTCGTTTACTCTTTAAATTTTAACCATCAACATTTATTTATTTTACAAATCATAAACTTTAGAGTGTTGAAACTCTCCCCCACTAAAAAGGTATTTCGTCCCCGAAATCAACCCCCCGTCA